AATCCTTGATTACCATGCAGAGAAAGCCAAATTGCACTAACCTCAAGTTTTAACGCTGAGCCACCTTCTATGTCATTTGATTCAGCTTTCAAAGCTGCTACCTTCTTCGTTGCCACGTTTTCAACCTAAAACGCTAGTTTTTTCTTCACCGCTTGAATGAACTTTTTTAGTACAGTCTCACTTACCTTATAAACTTGACCAAAGCCGCCTTCATCAATCTTTTTGAGTATAACCCATGGTCCAAAGCTGAAAATACGCATTCATAAGACGAACCGGTGCAAACTGTAGGTAGCATCTGTGTCTATGGTTATTAGCTGGTTGGGTCACATTAAGTCCAGTCTCAAACAAAAGTGGATGGTTTGTCGCCCTAACGAGGGCGTGAACGGAGCAGCCAAAACCCACTATATCTGCGTCGCACCACCGTGCCAACCAAATAATGGGCATAACCGTTCGTCTGGGACAGGATTTATACTATGCCGTGGCCCACATGTCTTCAGTGGCTTTGCTTGAACCGCCCTGGACCATAAACTTCGGCACAATGAAGTCGTACCGTTTGCCCACTGGAAAGCGGACAGCCGCAGCTTCATCGATCATAGCGACCGTATATGTAGGTAGAGTTCTATGCAAATAAAACATGCTCTTTACTCGAAGCCTTTTATAAGTTTTAATATGAAATCATTTCGACCATCCAAAGATTTGTTTCATCATTCAGAAGAGAATCGTGAGCGGTCGATTGCAATGTCTGAGAGAACGACGACCAGACAAGTTGGTTGAAGCATTCGAAGTAAACTTGGCCAAGAACGGCTTGAGTTTGATGAAATGAAATTATGATGACCTTGTGCCTGTACAGCAGAAACGTGCAATGATGTCAAACTGCTGTGACGAGATTCATTCTTTGTCAGGGTTTTCCAGCTAAGAACCTGATGCCTTTGGCGTCGCCCTTGCCAGATGCTTAACTGAGAACCTCAACTTTAAAAGCAGCGTCCCCAAAATGGTGGGTACCAACATTTCACAGCCTTGTGATAGCGGGTCCCTCTCTAATCTATCAGTGAAGTTTGGAGCGGAAAAGCGCTTTTGGATAACCTAAAATTCACTCCGCAAATCTTCCAGAACCCGCTCACATTCAGACCCCGCCCACCTCTTACATGTAGTTTAAAGCGAGCGCGGGCTTGGAGAGCTTCGGCAAAGTCATTTTTCTTATTTACAAGCACTGAAAAGCTGGATATGGCTTCAACACGAGAAGGCTGAGAGGAAGTGAAAGACCGGAGAGCGAATCTTGCCGGGAAACTCCTTTGAGTGACATAAAATAGTGAGAAGCTGTGCAGTGTATTCCTTCCTTGTAGCAGTATACTGAAACGAAATTTGATTATCTACTTTTCGCTTTTTTGTACAGCTTTTCTCCAATAACATGAGAAATTTAGGCTCACAAACACATGACTTCTTTCGGAGACTAGTTCTGCAGGAGAACATTAGATTTGCGTTACGACTCTAATAAAGGTTTTTGTGGAAAGGCCACTTGGAATAAAACTTCAAACACCTACTAGAATCTCGCGTCATAACATTGCAGCCCACAATGTGTGGATCATCAAAGACGTCCAAACCAACATAGCATGTGACTGCTCGCCAGCCACACTCGAAATCATGATTCCTGAGCGAAAGCGAACATCTTACTCCATGAGATTCATTACCAGCACGATACGTACTAAGCAACATATTTCAATGTTCCGATTTCGGTATACTGTAACATTAGCATCGCCGTCATTACTCTCATAGCTATCCATTTGCTACATAATCACATAGTCAGCTCTTCGTGTAGCTTCCATCTGTATAGATGAAATCGAAAGTCTGTGTGTATGTCTGTCTTTATGTTCTGAATAATAATGATAATATTATAATACAATTTTTTGTTTATGAAACGATCCGGACCAAAGGCTTACATACACTCTAAAGCAAAGCGCGAATCATAGGCTCTGTTCGCATTGATCTATTTCGATATTGTAGATTTTCTGTAAAATTCAAACTATGGGGCTGGGAGTTGTCACAGGGGATGAGCATGCTGATTACGAATAAAATGTCATTGACAAAGGCCGAGCGGAATAAGTTTGGTAGCTTTCCTACAAAATCTGTAGAATCATTCTTCCTTGAATTCAAAGAGAGACAGTCGCTTGCTAGGGACCATTGGAGGATGGGAGGAATTGAAAAATGCGGCTATATGACAGTACGCTTTTTTCCAATGTATTTGTAGTAAAGCTTTCCGATCCTTAAGAGAAGCCCAAGAAAAATCGCGCCTCTCTCAGGGAAAGTCCTACAAATTGACAACAAATTAAGG